CTATAGTACATATGTGAGCAAAGGAGGAGCTTTGCCTCTTCCCCTGCACCTCCTCCCCGAAAAAATCTAACCCAACCTGATTTATAATATGTCTGTGCAATGACGACTATGCGCAAAAATTTTCTGTGCAAACGGGATCTAGGCAAACGGAACCTGTGCAACCGTCGATCTACGCAAAAGAAATCTTGTGTGGCTATCGGGATCCTTCCGTAAACTGCACATCCCCTCCGTCCCCCTCATTCGTTCTGAAAATATAAAGACTTTAGACTAGCTCGTGCTCCTCTCGCGAAGACTTTGCGTCAAAGAAAAAGAAGCAAAGAAGAAGAAGAACAGCGAGAAATTAATAGATTTTATTGTTGATCGTAAAGTTATTCATGGACATATTAAATGTCCACGGTGTAGAGCAGATGTGAATTAAAATCACGAACGTATGCTTTTTATGCATTTACCAGAACGGTATACAATCGTTTTTTAATATTATGGCAAAACATTATCCGCCTTTAATATAAGAAAAAAAGTAAAATATCTGCCACTCGTTATTTTTTCTTATTTCTTTATTGCATAGGATCCAATTAAATATTGCTTCATATTAAAAGTGTCTACATAATTTTTCGAACGGGAAAACAGGAGGAAGAGCGAAGCTTTCCTGAAGCCCTTCTGCCTACACACGTACAACGCGAACAAAAAGAATATAAAAATAGTAGTAGTGTTCAGAAATTTCAAATTGTCATATCTCCGAAACCAAAAACGTTTTTCACAAAATTTTTTTAGATAATCACTCAGTATGACCTGTTCTACAACATATCTAAAATGCACCGAAATTAGTGAGGTGTGACCTAAAAAATGTATATTTATCTTCTCTTGACTCAACTTTTTCATTTTTATTGACTAATTTTTACAATATTTATTCATTTGTTCATTTTTGATTGTTCGTTATAGACTTCCAATGCGTAGACATCATACTTCGTTTGTATATCTATGTTATCTGTTGTTTTGGCTCGTTGCGCTTGCCGACGCGCATTAAACGGTCTTTGTGACGATTTCTCAAGTTAAGTTCGTACATATTTATTCATATTTTTTATATGTATCTTCCCGTCTAACGGATGTTTTTCTATTCTATTATTTTTTGTAATGTATATATACAATTACTGAAGATGATCATCAATAAAATTTGATCGAAACGTCCAGAATACACTGCGTTTTAACTTGTTTTGATTGTTCACTTCTAACATGGACCGTTTGGTTCTTTTTTGTTTTAAACACAAATTTACTTATTAGATTTAATAGAATTTAGTAATAGAAAAAATTCTATTCTGAATATATTCGTAAAACATTAACTTGGTGATTATTTTGGAACACTATGTAGCTAAAGATTTTTTATCGTTGCTCTCTAATAATATAACATGTCTGAAACGAAACAAGAAACCAGCATTAAAAATGTAGATATATAAAATACTTTATAGTTTAAAAAACAATTTGTTCGTTGTCAGGTAAAAACTTTTGATAATTTTGAGCTAATTTGTATGTCTATTTTACAAACGTTTTAATTTTTTCTTTCATTATTGCTCTTTGTAATATTCGTGCGTTTGATATTTATTACAGAAATATTACAGAAATAATTGAATCATGTTTTGTAACGAAGCATTGTTCCGTTGGTTATCTTCTATGTATTGTTATAATTTACTTGGTTGGTTATCTTCTATGTATTGTTATAATTTACTTGGATTTGTTTTTATTTCTTACTTTTTTTCTGTAATTATTATATTATTCACATATGTAATATTGCTTAATCAGTAAATAGTTTATTCTTACATACATATCACGTATGTATGTAAATAATTTAAAATATTTTTAGTTTTATTTATTTAATTTTAGTATCTTTCAAATACGAAATGACATGATAAGAACACTTCAAATTCACAACGTATCAAAACGCGTAAAAATATACAATGTATCGAATTGTTTCCGTAATAATATTATGTTACATTTTAACTGGTTTCATCGATTAAAACTCAAATTCAGGTGAATACCATTTTTCTCACGAATTCATAATTGTCTGAGTAAGTATTCGCACGTAGTTTCAACAAAAATTAAATTCTATTAATTTTATATTAATAATATAAATAATTTAAAAAGACAAATTGCGACAAAGTTTTTCAATAACATACAGCTTTAGAATATAAACAATCGCAAATGAATAATTATCACTTTGTAAAAGTTTTCGAAAATAAAAATCTAAAATTATAAGACAATGTTTAATAAATCGGATACCTTACATATCAATTAATAAAACCTAAAACTTTTTGTAACAAATGTTTCATACGTGATATTTTATGAGAAAACCATAGAAAGTAAAACAATTTCTAGAAATAAGCTTACAAAATGAATTTCATACAGAGATTTGTCTGAACAACAGTTTTAACTTATAAATATACTGATTGTGTTTTTTTTGTTTTATTATCTTCGGTATCTGTTTTATTATTATTATTATTATTAAATCTATATTGTTTCTGTCGTCTCTCTTTAAAAAAAGCTTTAACAATCTTTCTTTGTCTTTAGACAAATTAATGTCATAGATTAATTACTAAACGTAAGTTAATTTCGCACAGTCATATTTGTCCAATCTTCGCGTTCAACGTCTCGAAACATGGACGATACTAGATATTCGCACGGCTATTTATCTCAGCGGACACGCTAGCTGGTATGATATATCATCCCTAGCGATCGGGTCAAAATCTTCTCTCCGCGACGATCCTCTGTCAATGTCCGTTACGCCCGTGCACCGCAACTACCATCACTACCACCATCACCACCACTATCACCACTACTATCACGATCACTAACCACTGTCACTATCACCGTCACCACGACATGCGAACTCCAAAACAACAAGAACAGCACGCAGACCCCGCACGTTGCGTTACCGATGGCGAACGCGCACCCTCACTCACCCCGTTCTCGTCCGCGGCTCTGCTTCTGTGTTACAGAGGTCCTGCCCTCCTCCACCTCCGTAGACTTGTCGGGCACGGATTCGGCCTTGTACCCGTTCGACCCGCAGCAGGAGAACTACCAGGAGATCTGGTTGCCGCCGACCAGTACGTATCCCTATTTTCTGTTCCCCGGGACCGCGCGCACCCCGCCGTACTACGACCCCGACAGCACGTACGACATACGGGAGCCCGACGACCGACGTCCCGATCGCTACCAACATCACCATCGTGAAGGCGATCGGCATCATCACAAGGAGGCGCCAGAGCTGCCCGGCAGGCCAGCTGTCCGCGTCGGTCCTCGTGTCGATCGGGACCGGTATGAATTATACGGCGTGAATCGGCTCGAGGACCGCGTAGAGACCTCGCGTCCAGGCGCTGTTCACCCGGATCGCTCGATGGATGGATCTTCTTCTTCTTCCTTTTCCTCCTCTTCTTCTTCCTCTTCTTCTTCTTCTTCTTCTTCATTTTCTTCTTCTTCGTCGTCGTCATCGTCTTCGTTTTCCAAGCATGATCGCGCCTCCAGCACAGTGCACCTGCCGTCCCAAAGCGAGCATGACGCGCACCCGCACCAGTATCGGCACCACCACCACCACCAAAACCGACAGCACCACCAGCACCAGCACCATCGTCAGCACCCCGCACTACTACCCGCACCGCCGTCCGTCGTCGCGACGCAGTCGTCGTCGTCGGCGGGCTCGTACGCGCCGGCGGCCGCTCGTCCCACGCCTACCGCGCTGGACGAGCCGTTGGAGGCTCGTCGAGGAACCGACGACCGGCTGTCGGTCCCGAAATTCGCGCCCAGACCTACCTACGAACACGGCGCGATCATCGACCGCGCCGACGACGACCTCGACGACCTCGAGTTCGACAAGCAAGGCGCGCTGCCTGTCGACCGGCTCTTCCTCGAGACCTACGAAGGGTTTGTCGACCAAGGTTCGTACCGGGGTTCCATCGGCGCGCTTGAGAAATTTCGTCTTTTCAGGAGCTGCCGAAGGTCCCGTCCAGATGTTATCGGATTTCCGATAAAATTATTGGACTGCGAATACGTCCGGACTACATATTGATTTTAATTAAATATTTTTACGACGAGAATCACACAAAATCTCGAAAGAAGAAAATATGTACGTATTTCGAGAGAAATTTTTTTTCCACGAAATTATTGATTAATTAAAATAATTGATTAATTATCCAAGTTTTTATTGTGTTTGTTTTTTACGAAGATCAGTTTAAATAGCAATGTTACCGATGATGACACTCATCTATCTCACAGCATAATAGGTACACTTTAATAATTTATTTGCAAAAACTGATTGTTTGTACAATATTTTTAATACAGATAAATTATGCACATTATTTTAATTTTTTAAATAGTAAAGCAAAAAAGATATTTTAGATGAAACATACTTCTCTAATTGACATATTTCCGTTTTCAGTTTTAAAAGCCTTATGTGAAAGTTTAATCAGTTATTACGATAATGCTAGTTTCCCATCTATAAAGATAGATAATAAATTGAAGAACAAAATTTGCTATTGCAGTCAAATATTGTTTGTATTTGCTTTTTTATTTGTGTAAAAAGTTTTATTTACTGTGTCTGAATATACTCACACAGAACGATTTAGAAAGTCGTGATTAATCATTCACCTCGTTTCGCGCGGCAATGCAGCGGCCGAGGAAACGTTTTCAATTCCGTCGCATTAATTTCTCAGATCCTTCGCGGTTCGCTACGATATCATTCGCAGAAAAATTCGCGCGTAAATATTTTCGCGGATTATTCGCGTACGAAACGCTCTCACAATTTTGCAGCGCGCACGATTCTCCCGTGTAAATGCAGTTTAAAATAATCGTGACTCCTTTATGACTTTTATTGAAATTGCACGCGCAATCTTTCTTCTGTTCGTTTTTATGGAAAAAAAAATCAAAAGAAAGATCCGTTTAAACTCTTCGCGTTGATGGATTTATCCCGACGATCGCATTTTCTTGAGCAACTTGTTACGCCCGGTCGTTTGCAGTGAAGGTCATCGCCCATCCCGACAATTCAACCAGCTACGAATTGGTCGAGTCGACGTTGGAGAATCCATTGATCGATCCCAAGCATCGGGATTTGCTCACTATGAAGATTTCTATTCCGGGCGGCCCGTTTCGCAAGAAAAATCAGTCGGACGAAGGTAAGTTTCTTCTTAATGTATAGGGAGTACGTAATTTAATTAACACCGTAAGGTCTTATATAAATGTATTATTTTATTGATAAAATATTCTCTGTTTTATATAACAAAAAAGGGTTACAAATAATCATATATTTTAATGCGTTATAATATTAATCATATAAGTGTGTTATAACGCTTATAACACATGTTATATATCCATATATATTATATGTGTTATATATTTTAAAATTGTATATTGTATAATGTCAAATTTGGATTACGATTGAATAAATCGAATTATTTAAATTGTCGCTGCCATGTAATGCAACTGTTGGTAAATCGTCACGTAACAGAGAAATTGTCAATGACTGTTCTCTCCGATATTTCACAATGAATTTTGCGCAATCAAAGTGAGTAACAAAGCGGCGCATGTATATATGATCATAAATTTTTCCACTAAGGTGATCTTACTTGCACCGAGCGAGAGACGGGACGGCTTATGTTAAAAAATGTCGTGACGTTACCGTGGTACGCACGTCATGGAAAATTCCATCTGTTTTAATGCGTCGCGCAAATTCATATTTTCTCTCAAACTGCCCGCGACCTGTTGACAGATTGGCGAGTTTCGCGCAATAAAAAACCAGAAAAAAGCGTTCATAAACCTTTTTTCTTTCCCGCGATGCGATAATTGTCACAAATAGCGTCAAATTATTTTGCGAAACGTTGTTTGTTGTTTGCTACTTTATAAGACTTTCAAGTGCTGCAGTTTTTAAATACAGAAAATACAAATTTTTAAATTATTAGTTAGCAAAAGTGTGCGAGTTCAAAACTTGATTGTTGAGCGCGCGAGGGATGAATGTATTAATATGATTAACTTTTTTTTCGATACGAATCTGTTTACGCTACACAAACATACAGGAAGAGAGATAACGCGAGTGTGTATATAGAAGCGGTGCGAGCGTTGGAGCGCGTTACAATAGAATCCTAAAAATTCATGGCAAAATCCCGTCGAGAATATTAATTACATCGCAGTCGGATAAATCTTTGCGCGTGCGAAATAATTTTCTGCGTTTCGGACGAGCGAACAGACGAAAAGGAAAAAAAACACGTCCGCTTCAATATCGAATAGTGATAACCAATTACAATAAAAACGCTTTCCACTGAGCCGGCGCAATTCATGATTCAATGAAATTCATTAGTTTCCGCGCGTGCACAGAAAAAAAAATATATATTTCCGTATACAAGTGTATTATCCGCCAAATAAATAACCCGTCTCGCGTGATATTGCAATACTATGAAACCTGATTTTCTACATTTTTGCTTTTCTATAAATACGAGAGACATTTTATTTATTTATTTCATTGGTGGTTTCTTCTTATTTTGTTATCTATTTACTATACGGGTCTTTTCTATATCCCCATCAAGAAAATTACTACATATCACTGAGAAACCGTGTGTTGCGGCACACTTTGGAAAAATAATACTGCGAGAATATAAGCTTTGCAGAATATATATCTGGTTACCGGTGTATGTCACTAAAAGTAAAAAAAAGATTACATAAGATCGCTGTCTACTAACTGACATAGTTTCTCACAAAACTCATAAATGCAAGAAATTGTTGAAAACTGTATATACGCGATGAGAAAATCGCAATATTAGAAATTACTAATTCACGATTAATCAGTATAAATGATAGAGTAGACAAATAATAGGAATTAATCATCGCGCGGGCTGCTTGGACGATCGCGATTTTCCGTCGACGCGTTGGAAAGGAGTGCAGGATCGATCGCATCTTCGCGTAATATCTCGCGAAGATATCACCTCGATGAGTAAGATTTATTGCGGCAAAAGTTTAATTTAATTTTGACTCTTTCTCTCTCTCTCTCTCTTTCTCTTCCTCTCCCTTAGTTGCTCTCGTTTTCCCGGCCTCTACTTTCTCGCGTATCTCTTCTCTCTTCTGCGCATATTATTTCTCGAGTCGCCGGATTTCGAACTTTAATCCGCCATCGCGACCAAGACTCGTCCAAGTTTTCGTCGTATTCGATATTACACTACGATTTTACCTCGAGAGAGATCGTCGACGGTTCGGAAGGTAAAAGCGCACTGAGGGAAGAGACCAGGTGCGCGATCTCTTGCTCGTCGTTCATTAGGAAAAGCAAATCTCGCCGAGAGACTGGTTACACACTTATTTGTTCTTTAAGTTATTTATAATATTATACATCGATCTTTAATTTGATATTTAACGTGACACTCCGACGCCATTTGTACATCATTGTTCAAGGGAACAATATATAAAAAAAGTCCGTAAAAATCTAGAATTTTTACTTTATATATTTTTGTTTCTAAATAAAATAGAACATTCTAAAAATATTAAACAAAATATATTTAATATGTGTTGAGGGATAACCTCCGGTTTGAAATGATGAATCCAAATGTATCGTTGAAATAATCGGCTAATGCGAATCGTTGCAGGGTGTTTTGCAGTAATTGATTTAAAGAAAAAATTATTTTTTAACAAAACGTTTCAACTTTTTTATTCAAGTCATCTTCAGTTGTACACTAGAGATATTTAAACTAAATTAGAACAAGAGTATTTAAATGAAGATTTGCGGTATTAGGAAAAATAATATTGTTAAAAAAAATTAATTATTATAAAGGTGGTTATAAAAAGAGTACGTACCAAACACAAGACAACAATTAAAGTTAATTTAAAATTAAAAAACTAAGTCACTACATTGTTTAAAAATTTAAAATTGAGACGAAGTGAGATAGAACTTCAACTTCTGTTTGATTCGGAAATTACTGTGCTACTAAGTCATATGTTAAAATGTGTCAGGATTTATAATAGCTCTCTCTGTGTGAGTGTGTTTGATATCAATTTTATCAAGTATAGGTAAGTATATATTGTCTAAAGATTTAGTGTCAGTCATAAAATTCAATGTGTTTTTATGTGGAGCATTTCTGACATGATTCTTTTATAAAAATTCGACTCAATGTCTAAAATTTTAATGGGGTTCCAATTAAATTTGTGATTTTGTTCTGATTGATATCTGGCTAGAACTGATGTATCAGTATGTTCTTTTGTTACAATGTTCCCTGATTCTAGTGTGGAGTTGTCTTTTAGATTGTCTTATGTAACATTTGTCACATGTGTCACACGATATACGATAGACTATGTTTTTTTGTTTATCTTTTGGAACTTGTCTTTATGTGTTTTAATATATTTAGACAATTGGTTCAAACTTCTATATGCAAGTCTAATATTATTGTTGAAGTTAGTTTTGATATTATTAATATATTGAGTTATATATATATATGTGTTTGGATACGGTGTTACAAAGTAATGTACATTGTCAAAGTTATCGGTTTCCTGTTGATGTTTATTCAATTTATTTAAGAATAGCACTCTCAATCTTTTATTAATTGTGTTGAAAATTAATTGTAACGGATAGTTGTTTGTTAAGAAGGTGTTGATGTAAAATTTTATATTTTTCTGGTGAAACCTTGAATCCGATAGTAGAACGGCTCTATCTATTAGTGTGTATATGGTAAAAAACTATAATAATATGATATGTGAACACACACACACACACATGTATACATATATAAACGCATATTTTCCGCACAACATTCAGCGAACGGCTCTCACGACCGTCTATACATTTCTAAGTTTAGAAACTTTGGAGCCTAACAGATTCTTTATTAATTGTTTAATATAATAATATGTTTTTTGTTACATTATCAAAAAAAACTTAATTTATTTTTTTGCAGCTTTTAAATCCTGAATTAATCTTTTTGCCGATTTCCAAAACAACAAATGTTATAATTTGGCGAAACTAATACAGATAAGCGCACTGGATTCAACTAGTAATTAGTTATATTATACAAAACATATTGCGCAAAATATGTAAATTACTCGGCAGTAAAAGTAACACGGGACACGATGCAAAATTTTTTGCTTGATATAATGTTGGATCTAACTGTGAATAACAGTTGCGATTAGCCGGTGTTTTTGGCGTAGATCTTGTTTCTCCCGCAATTATTGCTAATAACTAATTGCCCGCGGCCAATTAACGTCAAATATGGGTAACGCAATTGCGATCGGAAAGCGTCGTTCGCTCAGCGCTTATCGCGCGCTTCTTTAACGCGATTTTCCCTCAATTTACAGCTGTACTAATTATTCGGTTGGCCGATCAATTACGGATATTCATTGCGGTTTCAAATATATAAATATAATATATAATAATATATAAATAGCGAGTAAACTCGAAACCGAGTAAAATTTCACTCTACGTAGCGGACTAATGATTAATTAACATGTTTATATGTTTCTTCAGTACTTGCCACGTTTAACTGACAATATGTTCCGTTCTATTTTTTTTCCGCGTGCTCGAGAAATAAATAATTTACTTAGATTTGATTAGAAAGATGTACAGGATGAATCTGATAAAAAGTTCAGCATGTTTTTTTTTTTTTCAAAAAACGGTTAAAAGATAGGAAGACATTCATTATCACAATTGTAAAGACATAAAAGGACATACTATGATGACCTTAAATAACTTAGAGCATCTATTTTTCACATTACCAATAAAAAATGTCTTCAATGAAAAGAGATATTTTGAGTTTCACTCTACTGATAGTACTCAATGAGCTTAATAACTTTTATATTAGAATATTTTTCGATAACTCAACCGGTGTCAAGATGTGATTAAAAAGTCAAAATAAAAACTTTGAAACAAATCTTTTTATTACAATAAGTGTTCAAAATGTATATTTATCATGTTGATCTAGACATGCTTGTAGTCTTCTTGTGAAAAGCTTGCTTAGACTTTTTCTCTTTAACAATTATTTTAAAAACTTATTTGCCGTGTTACAATTCGAGAAAACATGATGGAATGAATAAAAAGTATTTTGTTTGTAGAGATGTAGAAAAACATTCTTCTATGTTTAACCGTTTTAGAGAAAAACATGCTGAACTTTACTTTACTTTTTATCAGACTCATTTTGTATACATATATATA